GTGCTCGGGCGAGTCTGAAGTGATAACAAGGGCAAGTTGGGTATTCTAACCCGTTCACTGTCCTACCTCGGTATCATTCACCATTAATATACCTTACAAGATTCATAGTATGCTTAATCATCAATTTAACGGCTATCTTGTTCAAAGTAATATTCAATGATGTTTAGAAATATTAATTTTTTGGCATTGATAATTATGATGTCTCGGGTAAAAAATGCACTTTCAATTATAGAGGATGAAATTGATCACACACAACTTTTGCAGTGTTATCAATACGAGTGTGTCCAATTAACTTGTTATCTCAGCCATATATATGCTCTTAAAATACTTGTCTTAAAATCATTTATGGCCCAAATCGATAATATTATACAGTTGACTAAAATGAAGTCATGTGCTTGATTATATACCAACCATATTATTTCGGGACTAAAAATCAATAAACAAAACTTAAAATTACTAAAACAGGATATCATAAATTCACTTTATTAAATGAATGAACATAAAGTATCCAAGTAATCATATCCTACGATTGTCTTATGGCATTTATGACATTATAGTCAGGTTTGTGTCTTATAGCTAAACTTCTAGTGGTTGTCAACTCTTCACTCATTTGTTAATCAACTACTCATTATTTTATTGTATATTTCTTATTTATTCTAGTGGTCTCATATATGTGCTAGTCAAAACTACCATTTTTCATAATCATTCGGTACTTAAAAGTATAATATCAGGAATTTTAAACTAGAACAAAAAAAAAGAGTCTTAAGATATGTTTTCAAATTGCAACTCTAAACAGGGAGGAAGACAAGAAATTCTTGGAAAAACATGTTAATTAGGGTGCCAATAACAGTTTGAGAAGCTCTAGCAAAACATGGTGTTTGACCAGGCTTATAGTTTATTCCCATGTTTATTCCATTGGGTATGCCTGACAAGGTACTATGGAAAGTAAACTTCTTTTTATCAGTAAAAGAGGGGATCCTAACATTCTTGGAGTGAATTCCACATGAAAGACAATACTGCACATTTCACTAATGTCTTAGTAGTTGCATTTCTGTCCAGATTTGGACAATGTGTCTTCCTCAATTTACTCAACAATATTGTCAAGCAACTCCCACATTAGCTTTGCATCATTCATGTGATGAGAAACATCAACACTTTCAAGATATCCTGATGAGTTCACTGACAGTAAAACTTATCAAAGGCTTGATATGTACCCAGTCACGATACATGATTGTCACTCTAGGGTGTGCCCACTTTTTTTAGTTTTTACATTAACCACCACCTTCTCACTTGTATTTAGCTCTTCCTTCAATATTTAAGTCCTAAGATCACACATGTTTGGAGGTTTAATTCACCGACTATACGTAAAGGACCGTGGTGTATATATATGTTTTATATTAACAAAAGAGCTTCTTGCTACATTAAAGAGGATTGCATTTTTAAACCAGAACTTGCCAATGTCCAAACAAACTCTTTTGCGCAACTCTCATGCATTTGGTGCATTAACATCGGCATCGCCAGCACCATCTCATTCACCATAAATCTATCCCAAGGCCCCTGAACACCTCTTGTAGGAAGAGTATTATCATTTGCTTGATCTTACTCTCCATCCCACTACTAAGTAAGAACCCAATAATCCATATCAACATAATCTTCAAACTTTTAAAATTGTTTAGAGCTGTTTTATTCAAATACTCCTAAAATTGATTCTTAATGTCGTTAGTCATTTGTTTACAATGCAACATTCTTTCTAGTAGAAGCGAGATGATCTTCCCAAACCATCAAGCATGGCGCCAATTGGTTTTCAACTAACTTTAGTAGTTTTCTGATGATTTATTTGACAATAAGGAGTATGGTTTTCTCCATAGCCACTTCCTTCATGGTTCCCAGGCTTCTGGTGTGCTTTGTCACCAGGCTTCTCATCTCCGTCATTGTGTTGCAATAGATCAACAATTGCTTTTTCTTTCTAAGGCATTACGGAGTAGTAGTGGATGTTTGATGGAGTTTGCTATAGAGAGATGACTAACATTTAACATTTCATTTTCGTCACATGCTTAATTCATTGCTTTTGTTATTTAGTTCATTTAAAGAATTTGTGTTGGCTTATCACTAGTTTAATTGATAGTGTATGTTTTGTTTAATTGCAAGTACAAGAATCTTTATTGTTACGGAAAATTTCAAGTCACTGGTGTTCAACAATTCAAATTGTTTCCATCAAGAAAATCACCTACATGTATGGGGATGGACATGTCAAACAATTGCAAAGACATTAAAAAAACAGCATATAACCCATTTATGGAGTCGTGTGTTTTTGTTGTCTCGATGTTGTTCCACTCAAAGTGGGGTAAGAAACTAAGAACCGGAGAACACGTTACCAATTTATCAAATAAAAACGGATACATGATAGGGGACGTAAAGCCAAACAAAGAAAGTCCCCTTTAACAACTCCAAACAATTGTAATTTATTATTATACTGAGTATGATATACTCCCTTCTTGCCAAAATTAAGTTCCGGATTTGACTTTGCTTTTTAGGTTGGATAGAAAATAAAATTGGGATTTTTATTTGAATATTACTAATTTTGAACCAATTACCAAAAAAGTGATCACTTTTAAAAATGGACAAAAAAGTGATCAAAAAGGTCATATTAATGTCCTTCCCAGATTTTAATGTCACTATCGTGTCTTAACATCACTATCAAATGTCACTGCCACCACCGCTCATGTGACTGCCGCTACCGCTCGTGTCACTGTAACCACCGCATGTGTCACAGTAGCCACCGCCCGTGTCACAGCGGTCACCCCCGTGTCACTGTAGCCAATAGTGAATGTCACTGTTGCCGGAAAACATGTCACTATGACTGTTCCAACAAGCGAAACTGTCGCCACCAACACCGCACCCGATTAACCGCCACCCCACTCCACATTCGCATTTAGCCCTACACACCCAAATCCGGCAGCCACCATCGGCAGCTCCCCAACCCCACCTCAACCCACCAGCCCCACCTCAACACATCAGCCCCTCCCCAGCCCCACCTCAACACACCAGCCCCCTCTCCTTCCCCTGCCCCACCTCAACACACCAGCCCCATCCCCAGCTCCACCAGCCTCCTCCCCCCTCCCCAGCCCCACCTCAACCCGCCATCCCCCCCTCCACAGCTCCCATCCCGACCACCAGCTCCCCCACCCCATCTCACTGACCCCAGTCTCATCTTCCCAGCCCAAAAGAGCCCCCACAGCCTTGCCCAGCAACGCCGCACCACAACGCTCAAGCCCTCAAGCCTCACCCCTGTGGACAACAGTGCTTCGCCGTCAAGCCTTGCCCCTGTTGATCTCAGGTCTGAAAATCGATCTGAATTTCAAATCGAAGAATCGAAGAATTTCCAACGAGATGCAGAAGAGAGGAGGACCGGTGGCTTGGAGCGTCGAAGAAGATGGCGCCATGGCCGTGTGAAGAGAGAAGCCTCCAGACTTTCGACGAGATGCTGCAGAGAGAAGGACCAACAGCTTGGAGCGTTGAAGAAGAGAGCTCCATTGCCGTACGGAAGGAAGATCGGTGATGAAGCCTCCGGAGCTTTACTGAAGGAAGATTGGAATATTGATGCTAATGAAATCCACGGAAGACCGCAGAGAGGGAGAAGCGGGTACTTCGAATGAAATCGACGGAAGAGGGACGAAAGAGAGAAACGGGTGAGTTTTGCATCAATTTTAAAAAGAGTCGTACTTTTGCCCTATGAAAGTTGGGCGGTAATATCGACGCCATTGTTTCAATAAAATTACTTCCAAAGATTCCCTTGAGGGTTTGGGCTATGAGAAGATGTAGTATCCAAGATTCTAAATCGGCACAACACACAATGTAACTCATATCAATTCAATAATGAATAAGGACACAAATACTCCGTATTACATATAGCTTTGTGAAATAGAGTATAAAAATGTGACTACTTTTCCTTTTCCCATAAATATGAGTAATCTATTACTGGTATTTAATTAATTCATCATTTTTTCATTGTAATTTTTTCATCATATTTTCATTGTAATTTATGTCAAATCTTTACCTCAACCCCTCTCCCCTCACACTTGCTTAGTCACAGCCGGACCCGTCACTGGAAACTGCCGCCAGAAACCACCACCAGAAAAGTCGTCAGAACTGTCGCCGGAAAAGTTCCAAAAATTTATTATGATTTTTCTTCATTTTTTTTCTTTTTCAAAATCACCAGAAAAAGTCATCCGAAAACTATCCACTGGTCACAATGACATGTTTCACGACGACAGTGACATCCATGAATGAAATGAAAATCTGACAGTGACATTTATTAGTTACATGAAAATCTAACATCATTATATTTTTTGTAGTGACATCATATTTTCCCAAAAATATGCCCTTGTAGGTTACATTTTTTTGTTTCATATATAAGAGTGGATACTTTTTTGGAAATTGACTTGAATTTAATCATATTTAAGAAAAAATCCAAGTGTGGAACTTAATTTTGGGGTGAAAGTAATATATGTTTCTGATTTAATTCTATACAAATTTTGCTTTTTCTACCCAACAAAATCAAGAATCTTAAATAGAAAAACTCGGCCGGTGGGCGTGGCTGAACTGGTAGATAGGGAGTGCCACAGGAGGTAAGTCTCGAGTTCGAATTCCAGCAACTACGATGAGAGGTTAGTATACAAAAAATGCATATGACCCCTGCAAGTAACAGGGCCGGAGCCCCACTCTCTATCTCAACTTGTGATTAAAGTCCAATTTACATCATCTCATCTAATTGTCCGGTCGGTGTTGGGAGCCTCAAGGATGGTGTGTCAATTTTTTTTCAAATAATGTATTGGTACACATTTTTCATTCACACACCTACACACTCATGTTTGTAAAGAGTGTCTATATACAGACAAAAAAAGAACTATTCACAAACATGAGTGTGCCACCAACATGAGTGTGTAGGTACGTACATGTATGAAAATGTGTACTCAAGGTTTTTTTTTTGAACAAAACCCTAGTGCTTCTGTCCCGTCGCCTCAAAGCATTCCTTCCTACGGAGTATGTAAAAAAAAGCCTTGAAAATCTAACGAACTCGGTGCAACCAGACACCACAAACAACCATCGTAACCGGATTACTCACATCTTCCGGCGACTTCTAAACTACATCCGCGATGTCCTTACGCCGTCTATCCACCTACATTTACTGCTCAACATCTAGCCACAGCATCAAAAGACCTCAAAACACCATATCCGTTTTACCAAATCATTTAACCCTGGATTCGTCCAAACGAATCAGCTAAAAGGTAGAGTTATCTTGTGCGTGTGTGTGGGTGTGTTTCTTCTTATGAGTTCATTTCTGTGTTCGGAACCTTACTTGTTTTTTCGGGGATTCCACTTAATGGGCATTTACATACCTGAAATCTTGAAAGTTGGAAGTAATAATTGGGGAATAGCACTGAGATAGAGGGGCTATGCCCCATTATTCCAGACTATCATTCCATTTACTCTGTAGATCTTTTGGTCAAAGGGTTATCCAGGGAATTTGTTGTTTTAGCAGTTTCTCAGTTGGTGATAGTGTAGTCAATGGGCTTGGAAGCATAGAGTACTACTTGAGCCAAGGTTCCGAAACTCCAAATTTTGATCGCAGTTTTGAGGAAAAGCTAAATAGACGTTTCTTCATGAACGGATTATCTGAAGGCAATTGCTCCCAGCAGAACCACATTCCCTCAAGTAAAAGTTTTGCTGGCAATATTAGAATTGACTCTCAGAGGATTCTAGAAATTCTGCATCAAGATGGTCCTCCCCAGTTTGACACGAAAGCAGCTTTAGATGATTTACAAGTTAGGGTTTCTGGTCTTCTAGTGAGGGAAGTTCTGTTAGGGATACTTAGAGTCACAAATTATTATGAAAATAAGAAACATTTATCTAAAATTGGGTACGTGTTCTTTGAATGGTCCGGTCAGCAGGAAAACTATATCCACACGGCATATTCATACCATTTAATGATGCAGATTTTTTCTGAGGTGGGGGAATTCAAGGCAATGTGGGAACTAGTAGATGAGATGATCGAGAAAGGTTACCCGACAACTGCCCGGACTTTCAACATATTGATTTGTAGCTGTGGTAATGCTGGATTAGCTAGGAAAGTAGTGCAAAGGTTTATTCGAACAAAGAGGTTTAACTATAGACCATTCAAGCATTCTTTTAATGCAATCCTTCACAGTCTATTGTCCATAAAGCACTACAAGTTGATCGAATGGGTGTATCAGCAGATGTTGCTCGAAGGCCATTCCCCAGATATTCTAACTTATAACATACTTCTCTGTGCAAAATACAGACTAAGAAGACTTTGTGAGTTTAACAGATTGCTTGATGAAATGGAGATAAAGGGGGTTTCCCCTAATTCCCACACATTCGTTCTCCTTCTTCATGTTCTTGGCAGAGGGGACAAACCACTAGAAGCTCTGAATCTTTTGAACCATATGAAAGAAGTAGGGTGTAATCCTAGCATTCTCCACTTCACCACTCTGATTGATGGGCTTAGCCGGGCCGGTAACTTAGATGCATGTAAATACTTTTTTGAAGAGATGGTGACCCAAGGTGGTTGTTTCCCTGATGTTGTTTGTTACACTGTAATGATAACAGCATATGTGGTGGCTGATGAGTTTTGTAAAGCTGAGGAGCTGTTTGGTGAGATGGTAAGCAAGGGACAGCTACCAAATGTGTTTACCTACAATTCCATGATCCGTGGGCTTTGTATGTCTGGGAAATTTGTGGAGGCTTGTGATATGCTGAAAGAAATGGAGTTGAGGGGTTGTAATCCGAATTTTCTGGTTTATAGGTCTCTGGTAAGTCATTTGAAGAATGCTGGAAAACTTAAGAAAGCTCATCAAGTGATAAGACAGATGGTGGAGAAGGGGCAATATGCCCATCTTGTATCAAAGATTAGATGTAGAAGACGGTGATGGACAGTTCTCTGTTTATTGGTTTGTAACATTTGGTTGAAGAAAGAGGTCAATCCAGCAGGCATTCACCATCTGCATTCGGATTGTGTGTTTTTAAATGAGACACAATTGTAATTCATGATATCCCAATAATGTGTGTAATTTTTTTATTTTTTTCTCTCCACATGGCAAGCTTGATAGTGTTTGCTCAAATACAGAGAAATACCTACATACTACGTGTTTCAGTTGAGTTGAGCAGATACACATGTAATTACAGCATGTACACTCTTCTGGTCTTCCCACTACAAAAGGGTGTTTTGTAGGAAACACATGGATTTAGCACCTCTTCATTGAGTTCATTCTTGTCCGAAACAATATGGCCTGAATGTCCGAACCCATGCCGGTTTGGTCTTAAAACTTTTGGTCTGGGATGAATGTATGGTGAAGAGAACACTGTACTAGAAGAGTATGAACACCTGCATCATAGTATAATTGTCACCATTTCCCACAAAAAAATGTGCCAATAGCCGAGTTATTAGTATGACGTGAATGTTTTGGCATTATAGATAAACACATATGTAAGTATGTAACATTGTAACTCCTTAAAAGGGTTCTACAAAAAACTATCACGTGAATCGAGATATGGATTTCATAATTCAATTTGAAATTCTGATAATGCAAATGCATGAGTTTGAATGTTTAATGCAGGAAAACTTCCCTTTTTATACTTTCCGGCCAAAGATTCTCATTTCTACTTTAGTAAATAATCATCACTCTTTAATTCTTTATTGACAATTTAAACAACAACAATATCCAAGTCTTAGTCAAAATATTTTGGGATTGGTTAACATGAATCGATACATGATATATTAATCAAAGAAAAAAGAAAGGTAAGAAAGATAACAAGATAAACCATGATAAAAAAAGATAATAAAAAAAGAGATGGATATACATAAAATGATAGAATAAAAAGGATAAAATGAATATAAAATAAATTGTAAATGATAATTTAATCATCAAATATTAGAAATGATACACTTGTAACATAACACTATTCATCAATTATTTCTTTATATTATTATATGTCCATCAAAATTAATTCTCAAAATATACTAAAACAAAAAACATAAGACGAGTTGGAGGTAGTCAGCGGCGAAGGGGGGCAAATGGGGACCTCGAACTTTTAACATATACTCCCTTTGTATCTATTTAATTGTTCCGTTTGCTTTTTTATGTAGTTTAAGATAATTACTGTAGATTATATGTAAAGTATGAGGTTTTTGGTACTGTAACGGTGCGGTAGCAGTACCGTAGCGGTACTGTAGATGCTTTTTGAAGTTCTATGTAAAGTATGAGGTTTTTGGTACTGTAGACAATTAGAGCCCGTCTGGTAACACGAAAATCGGCTGATTCTGCTGAAGTTTATGAAGTTCTAACTGAAGTGGCTGCATCGACTGATTCTACTTATTTAAGAAAAAAAATCTAAAATATATTTTACTATGTAAAAATAGTTAAAATGATCATTTACAGTAATTTCACCCAATACAGTAAAAAAAGTAACTACAACCTTACTTTTTCTTATTATTACATAACTCAACTCGCGATAAAAAATGTTTCGCGTTTGGTAAAAAACTTGGCTGATAAGCCTGATAAGCCGAAAAACAGTGTGACCAAACGACTTCTTAATTCTATACGTCCCAAAAAGGAAACGGAGACAACTAAATAGATACGGAAGGAGTATGTATTTATATGCATTTTTTTATACTGCCACGTCTCCTACCGGGAAATCTTGCGTCCGGAAGTACTTTTTTTAGTAAGAGGAAATACTTGTTTTTTTAATGAAAAAGAAACAAAACAAATATTTCCTCTTACTTTTTTTTTAGTAAGAGGAAATACTTGTTATTCACATTGGATTTGACATCTTAAATAAAATGTATAACTAAAAACTAATAATTTCTCTCGGGGAAATGGAAATTAATAATCCCACCTTTTAGCAGTCTTCTTACAATAGTCCCACATTTTCGTTATTCAAGAATAATCCTGTAACACCGTCCCCAAATGTATTTACTTTTAAGAGTATAATGTATTGAACCTCATGGAATGGTTAATGAAAATACGAAGTGGTGAATTTTTAATACTTCTTTTGCGTGAATAATAAATTCGCACGTGGGACCCACACCGGGAGCGGGGCCGCCCGAAATCCCCGAAACCATATATTTTATTTATCTTGGTCAAGATAATATTTATATAGTGGTGGCTATTTCATTTGGACCATGGAAAGGTCCAGAGTTGACCGATCGGTCAAAAGAAGCCCAAATATCGGTATTGACAATTTAACCGATAAAAGCCCGAAATTGAATTTCGGGGACTTATAAATTAAAGTTTGGGAATGTATATTCATTATAAAGGTTATAATGATTAAGAACACATAATATATTTTATTTGACCCGATAAAATAAAATATATTTAAAACAGTCCGAAAAATACAACTTTCGGGGCCAATTGTACACTTCTGGACAAAAAGGGTTGACCTCCCACATGAGTGGGGGCCAACCCACGAATTTGGCCATACAAAACCAAGTGGTGGGCGGCTGGATTGGAAAGGAGGAGGTGGGAGGTGTTGGGGTTGAATAGATGGGCATCAAAGGTACATTAGATGGCCCCCATCCTTACTCATTGGATCAAAGAGACAAAAACCAACCCTCACCCACTCTCTCCCTCACTTCCTGCGGCCAGCACCCTCCAAGCAAGAGCAAAGAATCCTCCATCATTCTCCTCCATTGTTGAAGAGAGCTTTACAAGAAAGAATACCAAGAAAAGGAGCTAAAGTGCTAAAAGTGTGAAAGGATTAAGGTAATAACCTTATCAAAACTTTCCTTTATTTTTTCTTCTATCATATGAGATATATATCATATGAAGAACCTTGAGAGTTGTTCTACATGATTTAAGTGTAGAATAATGGGTGGGAGAGTGGTTCTAAGTCCAAGAACGGATTTAGAAGCCAAACCGACAAGTTCCCCGGAAAATGACCTTTTAAGGGTTATGGGTATTGATTAAGGTTTTATGATGTTAAAACCTTGTTAGGAACTTGATATAAAGTATCTTTGAGCTTCGCCGGAGTTTCGCCGGAGTTGGTCAAAGTTGGCCGGAGTTGGTCAAAGTTCACCGGAATTAGTCAAAGTTCAACCGCGGAGCGTAGAACACGCTTAAGCTCACTTAAGGTGAGGATGACCGACTATATTTGTTTATAATTATTGGGTTAATTTCATAAGATTACCTAAATGAATTATATGCGTTTGGCATGATTTATTTTTAATAAAAATGCCTAAATGAGATTATTATTGTTTATAAGCATATAAAATGCATGATATACAAATTTATGAATAAATTGTGTATGATTATGTGTTATGAATACAATGGTATAGTAGTTGTGTAAACTATAAATTAAATTGTGATAAATATACTTTTACCTCATGTAAGGAAGCCATGGAAGGATAAAAGTCATATTTTGATATTAAAGCCAAGTTATACTTGAATGTGGAATTAAATTGAAATATTCAAATTATTATGAATATGCATTGGGTTATTAAGATTAAATGACTAGTATAGGATACTAGTCGGGAATGTTAGTTCAATAGTTTTTGGGAGCCAATCCCAAGACTTTGGAGTTGAGTAACCTTAAAAGATATGTTTAAGGTGGACTTTGTGAACTCAAGTTACTTTTGGAGTAAGCCTTAAGGGTTACTCGAAATGGATGGAACCTAGACTAAGAAGTGGTTTAGGGATTAGTGACGTGACTATGAGCCGAGCTCTAGCACGTGGTAGTATGACTATGAGCCGAGCTCTAGCAAACGTAGGGTGACTATGAGCCGAGCTCTAGCACAAATTAGTATGACTATGAGCCGAGCTCTAGCAAACGTAGGGTGACTATGAGCCGAGCTCTAGCACAAATTAGTATGACTATGAGCCGAGCTCTAGCAAAAGTAGGGTGACTATGAGCCGAGCTCTAGCACAAATTGATATGACTACGAGCCGAGCTCTAGCATGGAGAACATGAGTTAATTATAAATGAGTAACATCTTGGGTTGAGGGTCTTGGAAATTGAAACTTTGATTATACTTAGTATAGTTGTCATTGTACTTGTCAAATGCTTCCAAGTACTGACCTCCCCTTCACGGGGGAGGCCACCTCACAGTTTCAGGTAGGGAGTAGAGCTTGCTACTACCGCTCGTTGCTTCGGGGAATTCAAGGAGGAAGGCGTGGTTCGTGCTTCTTCTGTTTCCGTTTTGAAAACAATTTAAATAATGCTCATGGATATTATTTCGAATATTTATTTGGGGGCTTGTATGCCAGTGGTTGCCACGTGTGGTTTGAATATTTGTAATTATGTTTCCGCTGCTTAACTAAATATTTTACGTTATGATTGTTTATGGATGTACTATGTGTGAATGGTATTCAAGACGCCTAGTATAGTATGGATGAGTTGGACTGCGGTTGACTATTCGTACTGTACGGCGGGTTGTTGACGTGTCCGGTAGGTCCGGGGCGTGACAATTTAATTGGTATCAGAGCCTTAGTCCGTAAACTTCATAATGAAGCTTCAAAATCTCTTTTCAAAAAATGAATTTGAAAACCATGAGCATAAAAGTTTTTGTACTTATAGAACTTTTGATACTTGAGTTGCAAAGTCTCTAATTGTTAAAATGGTACCCTTAACAATTGGTATGGCGGTGATTTGAGCCAAAGGATGTCTTTAAGTACCTATCCGTCACTTGACATTGATACGAGTCTAATGACTCATTCTACTTCCTTTCAGAAATGGAGCCAACCGGAAGGGTCACTAGGAGGAACCCGACGGGCCGTGTACCGGATGGATCCGAGCGCGGTAGCCGGGGGTCCACTAGGGGATCAAGAGGAAGGGGCCGTGGAGGCCAACGTCAAACCGTGAGCGATGGCCACGTCGACACGGAGAGTGAGACCTATTGGTCTTATGAGGACTCAACCTACCGGCCGGAAACTGAGCCGGTTGAGACCCCTTATGAAGGGGATGATGATGATGTGAGCGACGAGGAGGAAAGTGGCTCCTTGGCTCGGATCGAAGCGCTGCTCCAACAATATCATCGGGAGCGCGAGGAAAGGAGGGAACGCCGAAGGCGCCGTGCAGGGCAACCTTCGGGTGGGGCTCCAAGAGGAAGGAGCTATTGTGATTCAAGAACCCATGTGGAAGCGCATGGGAGTCGAGGTGATGGAGGTCCAACCATAAGGATCTCCAAATACATCAAAGAGGCGAGGGACTTGGGGTGCAAACCGTTCGATGGGACGGGGGACATCTCGGTGGCCGCGCAATGGATCAAGAGGCTGAACGAGGCAGCCCTGGACATGCAACTCACCCCCGATTTCAAACTGAGAATCGCGGTGAGGTTACTTGAAGGGTTGGCATCCAAGTGGTGGGATGGAACCAAGGGCAAGTATGGAGGGAATGTTACTTGGGAGGATTTTCGGCAAGAATTCTTTGCCCAATACTACTCTGACTTTGAGGTAAATGCCAAGGTGAGAGAATACACTCTTCTAACCCAAGGGGGTAACATGACGGTGAAAGAACTTGAGCACAAGTTCAGGGACCTTGCCGACCACATACCGGAGTATGCTTGTGATGAAAACCGAATGGTGAATCACTTTTGGGAGGCCTTGGACTTGGAGATACGTGATAGGGCGACTCAATTGCCCAACATGACTTTCAGCCAAGTGGTTGCCCAAGGGTTGAAAGGAGAGAAGCAATGGGAAGAGAGAAAGAAGAGAGACGTCGATGAGGCGAAGAAGAGGAAGTGGGAGAACCATGGCCCCCAAGGTTCTAACAAAAAGGGGAACCATGGGGGAGGTGGATCGTTCAGAGCACCGGCACCGCCATCCAAGGGGAACCCGGCCTTCAGCGGGCACAACTCGGGCTCCCAAGCCTCAACGACGCCCAGGTGCAGGAATTGCAACAGGAGCCACGCCGGTAAGTGTCGTGATCCACCACGGTGCTTCCAATGCGGGAGCACAAGGCATGTTAAACCAAATTGCCCTCAACTTGGTGGAAACCGAGGGGCGGGATCAAGCGGCGCCACCACGGCGAGTAGGAGCCGAACCGGGGCACCTCATGCTAGTACGGGGCAAGGGGGAGCGAGCACGAGCAACGCGCCGTCCGTGAATCAGGGGAGGTCTCAAGCACGGGTCTATGCGATGACCGAGGCCGACGCTCGGGCTAATCCCGACTCCGTTGCAGGTAATCCTTTGTAACGTTTGATAAATTACATGTATCGAGTGCTAAAAATGATAGCGGATTTGTACAGGCCCGCCGGGGCCGATACCGGTCGGTTTCTTGGCAAAAAGTTGCAAAAATAAGCTGCCCAGGGGTAAACCGGCGCCGGTCAAGGCTCAAACCGGCGCCGGTTCTAATTAAAAATGGCTGTTTCGGGGTCGCTGTGGGTAAACCGGCGCCGGTTTTGACCCATAACCGGCGCCGGTCAAGGGTCGGGGTGACTCAGGCCAATTAAAACTTGAATTCCGGGAGACGCCGTAGCAAAACCGGCGCCGGTTTTGGCCATAACCGGCGCCGGTCTAGGGGAAAAAGTGGTCGGAAGAATCACCGTGCTCGTAACCGGGGCCGGTTTTTGAAGAAAAACATTTTTCCGAAGTTGCCGATGGTAAACCGGCGCCGGTTTTGGCCATAACCGGCGCCGGTCCAGTTTATTTTGCGTGAATCCGGCCACCCCGAAGGCAAACCGGCACCGGTCTTGCCTAGAACCGGCGCCGGTCCAGTGTATTATCACCCGAAAAATTTTCGTTAAGCCCCTTTTCGATCCGGTACGTTGCCTAGTGTGTCTCACATGACTTATGAATGTAGGAACATTAAAGATCAACGGTAGAAACGCAAGAATTCTCATTGATACCGGGGCACAACGTTCATTCGTGAGTGAAGCGTTTGCCGAAAGTTTAGACGTGCCGATGATAGTAATGACACAACCCCTGTTGGTCTCTACACCGTTGGGAGACGATGTGGAGAGGAAACACTACTATCCTTCGTGTGAGGTAGAAGTGACGGGTCAACCTTTGACTTGTGACTTCGTACCTCTAAGTATGTTAGAATTCGATGCAATTCTAGGGATGGATTGGCTCGAGAAACATCATGCTCGAGTGGATTGTTATGCCAAGGTTTTGGAACTCGAGGATGCTGAGGGAAACACTCTACGTTTCGAGGGAGATCGGGGAGGATCTCATAGTTGCATAATATCCGTGATGAGGGCACGGAAGATGATAAAGAAGGGATGCCACGCATACCTTGCTTACGTGGTGTATGAAGCAAAGAAGGAGGTTGACATCAACGATGTACGTGTCGTGTGCAAATATCCGGATGTCTTTCCCAAAGACTTGCCGGGGCTTCCACCCGACAGGGAGATCGAATTCGTAATTGAAGTGGAGCCGGGAACCAAACCCATTTCGATTCCTCCTTATCGAATGGCACCGGCCGAGCTTCAAGAATTGAAGGTTCAACTTCAGGAGCTATTGGACAACGGGTTCATTAGACCCAGTCATTCACCGTGGGGAGCACCCGTACTCTTCGTAAAGAAGAAAGATGGTACACTAAGAATGTGTATAGACTACCGACAGTTGAACAAGGTCACGATCAAGAACAGGTATCCTTTACCGAGGATTGATGACTTGTTCGATCAACTTCGAGGGGCAACAGTATTCTCGAAGATTGATTTAAGGTCGGGGTATCATCAGTTGAAGATAAAGGAGAGTGACATACCTAAGAGTGCATTTCGCACTAGATATGGTCACTACGAGTTTTTGGTGATGTCATTTGGTCTAACCAACACACCGGCGGCATTCATGGACATGATGAACCGTGTGTTTAGTGAATACTTAGATCAATTTGTGATAGTGTTCATTGACGACATTTTGATATACTCCAAAAGTGAAGAGGAGCATGAAGATCATTTGAGTCTTGTACTTGAACGGCTAAGGGAAAAACAACTCTTTGCCAAGTTCTCTAAATGCGAGTTTTGGCTCAAAGAGATTGGGTTTCTCGGGCATGTCGTGTCAAGTTCGGGCATTTCGGTGGATAAAGCCAAGATAGAAGCCATTATGAATTGGGAGAGACCCAAAAATGTGAAAGAGATACGTAGTTTCCTTGGCTTAGCGGGATACTATCGAAAGTTTGTTGAAAAATTCTCCGTATTGGCGTCTCCATTGACAAAGCTCACGAAGAAAGGGGCCAAGTTCATATGGGACGACAATTGTGAGAAAGGCTTTCTCGAACTAAAGAAACGGCTTACGGAAGCACCTGTTCTCGCTCTACCCACACAAGGGATAGGGTATGACATATACAGTGATGCTAGCATCCAAGGGCTTGGATGTGTACTAATGCAAAACGGTCGGGTGATTGCCTATGCTTCTAGGCAATTGAAGAAACACGAGGCGAACTACCCTACCCACGATCTAGAGTTGGGGGCGGTAGTGTTTGCACTAAAGATTTGGAGACATTACCTCTATGGGGAGACATGTCACATTTTTACCGATCATAAGAGTCTGAAGTATGTATTCACTCAGAAGGAGTTGAATATGAGGCAGAGGAGATGGATGGAGTTGATCAAGGACTATGACTTGATCATCGACTATCATCCCGGAAAGGCCAATGTAGTGGCCGATGCGCTGAGCAGGAAGAGTACGTCGGGGACACTACTCACATGTCTACGAACTTTGAGGGCACAAGTGGAGGTGTCCACGAGTGGGGTCCTCATTGTTAGATTCGAAGTTAGGCCTACATTGTTGAGTGAGATCAGTAGATGTCAGGCCACTGATGAAGAATGCCAGAAGATCCGCGAAAGGATCCTTGAAGGGCCCGTGGAGAACTTTCGGGTACGTGATGACGGTCTTTTACTGTTTAAAGACCGTGTATGCATACCAAAGAGTGAGGAGCTCCAAAAGTCCATACTAGAGGAGGCTCATTCTTCGGCATATGCTATGCATCCAGGGGGTACCAAAATGTACCGAGACTTGAAGGAAAGTTACTGGTGGTCGGGTATGAAGAGAGACATCGTAGAGTACGTGAGTCGATGCCTTACTTGCCAACAAGTTAAGGCAGAGCATCAGCACCCGGCGGGGCTTTTGCAGCCACTGACCATTCCAGAATGGAAGTGGGAGCATGTTACCATGGACTTCGTGGTGGGGCTACCACGAACAGTGAACAACTACGATGCAGTATGGGTAGTGGTTGATAGGCTCACTAAGAGTGCACACTTTTTGCCTATCAACATTACTTATCCTCTTGAAAGATTGGCAAAGTTATACACGGAAGAGATTGTGAGATTACATGGAGTCCCGATATCCATTGTCTCGGATAGGGATCCACGATTCACATCTCGGTTTTGGCCCAAGTTTCAAGCATCTTTGGGTACTAAACTGAAGTTTAGCACAGCTTTTCATCCACAGACGGATGGACAATCTGAGAGGGTGATACAGATATAGGAGGACATGCTTAGGGCATGTGCTCTGGAGTTCCAAGAGAGTTGGGACAAACATTTGGCTCTAGTCGAGTTTGCCTATAACAACAGTTATCAGGCAAGTATTGGCATGCCTCCATACGAGGCATTGTATGGGAGGAAATGCAGAACACCGTTGTGTTGGGACGAGGTTGGCGAGGCCAAGCTCGAAGGAATTGAACTTGTTGAAATCACCAAGGCTAAGGTGAAGGTCATTCAGGATAGACTCAGGGCTGCCCAAGATCGGCAGAAGAGTTATGCCGACAAACGACGCAGGCCATTGGAGTTCGAGGTCGGTGATAAGGTCTTCCTAAGGATTTCTCCTTGGAAGGGTATCATCCGATTTATATCGAGGGGAAAGCTTAACCCCCGATACATTGGTCCATTTGAAATCCTTGAAAGGATAGGGGCCGTAGCATACCGTCTCAAGTTGACGCCAGAACTTGAGAAGATACACGACGTGTTTCATGTATCGATGCTCAAGAAATACGTGAGAGATCCGTCTCATATTCTTGAGAAGCCACCGGTGGAGATACGTGAAGATCTACAATATGCGGTGGAACCGGTAAAGATTGTGGGTCAACAGGTGAAGAAACTGAGGAACAAAGAGATTCCTATGGTAAAGGTTCTTTGGAGGAGTGATCGAGTCGAAGAAGAAACCTGGGAGACTGAGGTCTCAATGAGGGAGCAATACCCGTTTCTTTTCGATTAGACACGTAGATTTCGGGGACGAAATCCCAAATAAGGGGGGGTGAACTTGTAACACCGTCCCCAAATGTATTTACTTTTAAGAGTATAATGTATTGAACCTCATGGAATGGTTAATGAAAATACGAAGTGGTGAATTTTTAATACTTCTTTTGCGTGAATAATAAATTCGCACGTGGGACCCACACCGGGAGCGGGGCCGCCCGAAATCCCCGAAACCATATATTTTATTTATCTTGGTCAAGATAATATTTATATAGTGGTGGCTATTTCATTTGGACCATGGAAAGGTCCAGAGTTGACCGATCGGTCAAAAGAAGCCCAAATATCGGTATTGACAATTTAACCGATAAAAGCCCGAAATTGAATTTCGGGGACTTATAAATTAAAGTTTGGGAATGTATATTCATTATAAAGGTTATAATGATTAAGAACACATAATATATTTTATTTGACCCGATAAAATAAAATATATTTAAAACAGTCCGAAAAATACAACTTTCGGGGCCAATTGTACACTTCTGGACAAAAAGGGTTGACCTCCCACATGAGTGGGGGCCAACCCACGAATTTGGCCATACAAAACCAAGTGGTGGGCGGCTGGATTGGAAAGGAGGAGGTGGGAGGTGTTGGGGTTGAATAGATGGGCATCAAAGGTACATTAGATGGCCCCCATCCTTACTCATTGGATCAAAGAGACAAAAACCAACCCTCACCCACTCTCTCCCTCACTTCCTGCGGCCAGCACCCTCCAAGCAATAGCAAAGAATCCTCCATCATTCTCCTCCATTGTTGAAGAGAGCTTTACAAGAAAGAATACCAAGAAAAGGAGCTAAAGTGCTAAAAGTGTGAAAGGATTAAGGTAATAACCTTATCAAAACTTTCCTTTATTTTTTCTTCTATCATATGAGATATATATCATATGAAGAACCTTGAGAGTTGTTCTACATGATTTAAGTGTAGAATAATGGGTGGGAGAGTGGTTCTAAGTCCAAGAACGGATTTAGAAGCCAAACCGACAAGTTCCCCGGAAAATGACCTTTTAAGGGTTATGGGTATTGATTAAGGTTTTATGATGTTAAAACCTTGTTAGGAACTTGATATAAAGTATCTTTGATCTTCGCCGGAGTTTCGCCGGAGTTGGTCAAAGTTGGCCGGAGTTGGTCAAAGTTCACCGGAATTAGTCAAAGTTCAACCGCGGAGCGTAGAACACGCTTAAGCTCACTTAAGGTGAGGATGACCGACTATATTGCTTATAATTATTGGGTTAATTTCATAAGATTACCTAAATGAATTATATGCGTTTGGCATGATTTATTTTTAATAAAAATGCCTAAATGAGATTATTATTGTTTATAAGCATATAAAATGCATGATATACAAATTTATGAATAAATTGTGTATGATTATGTGTTATGAATACAATGGTATAGTAGTTGTGTAAACTATAAATTAAATTGTGATAAATATACTTTTACCTCATGTAAGGAAGCCATGGAAGGATAAAAGTGATATTTTGATATTAAAGCCAAGTTATACTTGAATGTGGAATTAAATTGAAATATTCAAATTATTATGAATATGCATTGGGTTATTAAGATTAAATGACTAGTATAGGATACTAGTCGGGAATGTTAGTTCAATAGTTTTTGGGAGCCAATCCCAAGACTTTGGAGTTGAGTAACCTTAAAAGATATGTTTAAGGTGGACTTTGTGAACTCAAGTTACTTTTGGAGTAAGCCTTAAGGGTTACTCGAAATGGATGGAACCTAGACTAAGAAGTGGTTTAGGGATTAGTGACGTGACTATGAGCCGAGCTCTAACACGTGGTAGTATGACTATGAGCCGAGCTCTAGCAAACGTAGGGTGACTATGAGCCGAGCTCTAGCACAAATTAGTATGACTATGAGCCGAGCTCTAGCAAACGTAGGGTGACTATGAGCCGAGCTCTAGCACAAATTAGTATGACTATGAGCCGAGCTCTAGCAAAAGTAGGGTGACTATGAGCCGAGCTCTAGCACAAATTGATATGACTACGAGCCGAGCTCTAGCATGGAGAACATGAGTTAATTATAAATGAGTAACATCTTGGGTTGAGGGTCTTGGAAATTGAAACTTTGATTATACTTAGTATAGTTGTCATTGTACTTGTCAAATGCTTCCAAGTACTGACCTCCCCTTCACGGGGGAGGCCACCTCACAGTTTCAGGTAGGGAGTAGAGCTTGCTACTACCGCTCGTTGCTTCGGGGAATTCAAGGAGGAAGGCGTGGTTCGTGCTTCTTCTGTTTCCGTTTTGAAAACAATTTAAATAATGCTCATGGATATTATTTCGAATATTTATTTGGAGGCTTGTATGCCAGTGGTTGCCACGTGTGGTTTGAATATTTGTAATTATGTTTCCGCTGCTTAACTAAATATTTTACGTTATGATTGTTTATGGATGTACTATGTGTGAATGGTATTCAAGACGCCTAGTATAGTATGGATGAGTTGGACTGCGGTTGACTATTCGTACTGTACGGCGGGTTGTTGACGTGTCCGGTAGGTCCGGGGCGTGACAAATCCAACCTTTGCACCCATCTTCATTCGCTGGCCCCGACCAGTTAATGACCTGCTATTCCAAGTTATTTTCTTATCTTTGCAAAATATTATCTTTGTGAAAGGTGATATTTTGGGTAGGGATGTCAAAAAAAAACCCGACCCGCAATGACCCGCCCTGGCCCGAGACATTTGGGGCGGGTCCGCCCCGCCCCGCCTATACAATGTGGCGGGTCCGGGTATTAGAACTGACCCGTGACGCCCCGACCCGCCCTGCCCCGACCCGCTCTATATATAAGTATATATACTTTTTCTTAAATTATACTACAAATATACTTCAACATACATAGGTGTGTATACAATAAATCATAAATTCTTTGATCTTATAATATATTAATATATATTAGAATGAGATGCACGACGGATTATCAATGTCTTCTTTATATATAGAATTTTAATACATATATTCAATTATTAGTATAACTAATTAGATTAACTATTCAAGTTTGAGTAATTTTCCTTAATTTTTTGAAATTTTTAGCCTATCATGAATTTGATTTAATATATTGATTTTTAATTATTATTTAGAGATAAACATTATGTAGATTCAATTGGTAACAACTTTCCACAAATAAAAATTCATACTAGCTAATTAGGTTGCGACAGGGCGGGGCGGACCCGCCCCGCATGGGGCGGGTCATGGGTCAACAAGTTTGGACCCGTGCAGGTCACGGGGCGGGGCGGACCCGCCCCGTCAAGTCACGGTGCGGGTTCGGGTCTTGCAATACCCGCCCCGCCCCGACCCATTGTCATGCCTAATTTTGGATATAATGGTTTGCAAACATAAGAAAATAACTTTGAATAACATGTCATCAACCGGTCAGGGTCCAGTGAATAAAGATGAGATGCAAAACTTAGATTATTCATGAATAACGAAAATGGTGTGACTATTATAAAAAGAACGCTAAAAGGTTGGATTATTAGTCAAACATTTTCCCTTATAAATTACGGAAGTCAATCCGGAATACGAAGTAATCCAATCTAAATACTCTTGCATTCTGTGGTCTATGGTAAACTTCACCTTTCTACCCTTTCTACCTTGGCCTGCTGTGTTGAATGTTCTTAACTTGGCAGGTATGTATGTATGGGCTCACACAGTCACCCGTTGACTGACACACATCAAAGTCAATCCGGTTCTGTTTTTTGCACCACCAAGATTCAAGATGGCTGACACGATCCATATACATACACGTAGGGAATTAAGGCTGGCTCATTTAACGTTTAACAAGTGGGTTGCTGGATAACACATAAACCATTGGATTAAACATCATTAATGGGTATTGGGCCACTTGGACCAACACCAATTAACTGCACCACCACCCGTTCACACAGGTCAAAACTCTGTCAATAAGGTAACGCCCATCATCATTAGCTGTAAAGAATCACAAAAATTCAAAAATATTACAAGACAGGAGAGAGAGAGAGAGAAAGACAGAGAGTGGGAGGAAGAAGACAAGAGCAAGAGCAGAAAGAAGAAATGGCAACCTTTGCAGGGACAACCCAGAAGTGTAAAGCCTGTGAAAAGACTGTATATTTGGTGGATCAGCTCAGAGCAGACAGTAAGGTCTACCACAAGGCATGTTTCAGATGCCACCACTGCAAGGGCACTCTCAAGGTCTCTCACTTTCTTTCAGCTGTTTTCATGCTACTTCACTGCTTTCAAAGTTGTTAACTTGTTTAGTGGGGTGTTTTTTTATTTAGTTGCTCTGTGTTTAGATGTGTGTCTGGTTTAGTGAGAAATGAATGAAGTGTCATTTTTGGACTGTGTTAATTGTGCTTTAGTAATCTGATTGTGAGGTAGATTGTTTTCCCCTTCCCGGAGATGATACTGCTATGGGCATTTACTTCCAATTGATTTGAAATACTTGAAATTCCTCTATGGATTGTGTTGTGTGCTCAAGTCATGGAAACCTGCTGGCTGAGTAGTTCAACTCGTTGATCTTATTTAGCAAGTCTTGGGCGTCATTCTACAAGATCAAACTTATAGGAATACCCTTATATGTTGTTGTTATAGCTTGACAAAGCTTGTTTAGAAGTTAGAACAGACCAATCTTGAAGTTCATATGTTTGTTGTTGAGATTTATTAGAATCTAATTGCCTGTAAAGTTTAAAGATTAGATGGCTCTGATAAGATGAGTAGTCTAAAACCATATATACCCCATATTATTTTTGTACATTGACACTTGTGTTGTGTGGATGGTTTTGCACCATCAAATTGTCCATACGGCATCGTTTGCACCATCCTTTTTCTTTTTTCTTTTTTTGAATCATGAAATGTTTCATTCTTCCTTGAGTGTTTAATTAATCCTTGTGTTGGATCCATTTGGATTTTAATGGTTCTGGATCTAGTACTGTATTTTGTTTAGCTTCTGTTTGTGATAGACTTCATCTGTTGTCAATCAGTTTCATTAAGAGTTCTATTTACATAATATACTCTGTATTTTATTATTATTCCCCCTCATCTTTTTTCTTCTTATTTTTTATTCTTTTATCCTTATATATATATAAACATTATTTTTATCCTTTTTATTTAATCATTTTTAGGTATATTCATCTCGTTTTATATTATCTTTTTTATAATAGCTTGTTTTTTTAATCTATATTTTCTTTCTTTTCCTTTTGATGGTGATATCATGTATCGATTCATGTTAGCCGACCCCATTATCTTTTGGGACTAAGGCTTGGATGATGTTGTTGTTGTACTCCGTATTTTAATTAGTAGTGGTAACTAAAATTTACACATTTAGAAACTCTAATAAAAATTATATTGAATCTTAAGTATTAAATCATGGAGATGCTTCTGACTAAATAAGGAAAAATGTACGTCTGATTGCCACGATTAATGCTTCGCACCTAGCTTCTTTAGTACCCAAAGCAAAAAACTGCTAAAACATAACAATAAGGTCAAGTATCAGTGTATTACTATTGTGATTATCATATTTACAAGCAGCAGCACCTAATATTATAAATATCTGTTTCATGGTTTTCTTGTTTGCAGCTCAGCAATTACAACTCCTTCGAAGGAGTTTTATACTGCAAACCACACTTTGATCAGCTTTTCAAAATGACTGGTAGCCTGGATAAGAGTTTTGAAGGTAAGTGGGCTGCATTTCTGTATTTGATTTCACCTTAGTATGCTTGTGGTTCTCTTCATACCTGAAAGAATATTACTCGTAATACTTACCAGATTTCATTTGACCCACAATTACCCATCATCCTAATCCTCTAACTTTATTATATTCCCTTTTCAAACCATGTGCAGGGGCTCCAAAAACAGTGAGGGAAAGAACTGCTGATCAGGTATGGAATCTGCATTCTTTCATATTATTAGGACACAATTATAAGTGCCTCTTTTCGCAATTTGTTTCGCTGTTTATTAAAACTTAAAGTTTCATCATAAAAGATGAATCTAATAGTAAGAGCACTGTGGAGTTAATATGTCATGGATCTCGTTGGAGTAGACCAATCTTGAAATCGAAGTACTTTTTTCTATCCGTAGTCAGATCAGTTTCTCATTCGAACTAAATTGACTCTAATCATATATTACGATTTGATATTTCATCGTGAAATATGAACCTAGTAGAATGAGTAGTCCAAAATCTTATACTCCGTATGTTAATTTATATCTTTATATTTGACCACATGATTTAGTGTTGTTTTGGTAAATCTTTTACTAATGCTTACAGTGTGCTGAATTGGGCTTGCAGGGACACTCAAGCACTAAAGTTTCAAGCATGTTTGTAGGAACTCAAGATAAATGTGTGGCTTGCAATAAAACAGTTTACCCCATTGAAAAGGTAGGGTATTTGCTAATTGCTATCTCTTATTCAGCTGGGCAAGAAAAATTATTCAAGATAAGTTCTCTCACATTGAAAACTAAAATTCAGTACAGAAACTCAAAATTTTCAGTTACAGTGAAGGTTCATTTTGCATCAGTTGCTACCTATGCAGCAGCGAAACCGAAAACTAGGAAACAACATTTTAAGACTATGTTTCAGTCCATGAAAATGCTATCGAAAGTAAAGAAAGCGTGAAAGTTATTTTCTTATGTTTGCATTACCTTTGAAGGTGTACAAAAGAGAATGAAATATGGTTAAGGGTATGAAAATATTCATATTTGGTCAGAATTCTTAGTTTTATACAGCAACAACATCCAAGCCTTGGGCCAAAAAGAACTTGGGGTCGGCTACATGAATTGATGCAGGAAATCAGAGCTAGAATACTGAGTTTTATATACTAAATAAAGGAAAATGATATTAGACAAATATAAAAATAAATTTACTGAGTTGCAAACTTGCAACCAATGTTATACTTTCCTCGGCATTTTCTTTCTTTAGAAAATTTCATATATTTTCTCCACTATTTTATTTCCACTAGCATTTCTCGTAATTTAAATGTAACCTAAAAAATGGGTATTTTGAACATATGAAAAAATAAACCTTGTGATTTAGTGACACTGATCCATGAAATCCATCGATGGATATCATCTGATTTGGACCAATGGGGCTAATAAATTGCTGTTTAATATATAGGTTGCTGTTGATGGAACCTCATACCACCGTCCTTGCTTTAAGTGCAGCCATGGTGGCTGTGTGATCAGTCCATCAAATTATGTAGCACATGAGCATAAGCTATATTGCAGGCATCACCACACTCAGCTTTTCAGGGAAAAAGGAAACTTCAGTCAGTTGGATACGAGCGATAAATCTAAGGTTGTCAATGGGAACAGCAATGGCATCACCGGATCAGTTTAATATTAAATCACATTTAGCGCGGTCATATATATAATCTGGTATCCTGATGTTGAACAAACTTCGGGATAACTTTTCATGGAGGAGTCTGTTGCCGTTGGTGTAAACATGATAGGGAGCTTTCAAAAATGCTTTATGAAGTAGTTTACACACTTAGAGTTTCATTCAGTTGCTGAATCATGCAGTCATTGTCATGACAACGGGTTTCAAGTATTTTCATCAAATCATTCCATAGGCCATTGCTGTTGTTGCCCCTCTTATGACTGCTAGAAAACCTTGTGATACTCTGATGCTTTTACAAGTGAACATCAATTCGTGTGTGATTAATAGTTTATGCATTTCTATTAGTGTGATATTTTTCCCAAATTTGTGCCTCCGGAATCAGCTCATTCTCATTATTCTACCAAGCTTATCAGCACATCATAGATTGATTTCAACTAAATATTACTCCCTCCCTCTCAATCAAAGGTTCTCACTTTCCTTTTTTGTAAGTTAGTTAAAGATTCTCATTTTCTATTTTAGGAAACATTAAACACTCCTAATTTAATCATCAAATATTAAGAATAATACATGTATAACATCACAATTATCATCAATAACTCATTATATTAGATACTCTTCAAAATTGTTTCTCAAAATATACTTGAATTAACATATTTAATTATTATCTAAATAACTGTGTCATTTTGCAATAAAAACCTTTGAACAAGACGGAGATAGTACTATGTAGATATTTGTCAAGAGCGTGGACATTGAATCAACCACACCATGCCACTTGGAATTCAGAAGTAGACTCTTGGGGGGTTGGCAATGTTTTCATTTAGTTGGAATTTCAAATTATTCCAACAACAACAACATCCAAGCCTTAGTTCCAAAAGATATTGGGGTCAGCTAACATGAATCGATACATGATAACACCATCAAAAGGAAAAGAAAGAAAATAAAGATAAAAAAGTAAGCTATTATAAAAAAAGATAATACAAAACAGGATGAATATACTTAAAAAACAATAAAATAAAAAAGATAAAAATAATGTTTATATATATAAGGATAAAAGAATAAAAACAAGAAGAAAAAAGATGAGGGGGAATAATAATAATAATAATAATAATAATAATAATAATAATAATAATACTAATAATAATAATAATAATAATAATAATAATAATAATAATAATAATAATAATAATAATAATAATAATAATAATAATAATAATAATAATAATAATAATAATAATAATAATAATAATAATAATAATAATAATAATAATAATAATAATAATAATAATAATAATAATAATAATAATAATAATAATAATAATAATAATAATAATAATAATAATAATAATAATAATAATAATAATAATAATAATAATAATAATAATAATAATAATAATAATAATAATAATAATAATAATAATAATAATAATAATAATAATAATAATAATAATAATAATAATAATAATAATAATAATAATAATAATAATAATAATAATAATAATAATAATAATAATAATAATAATAATAATAATAATAATAATAATAATAATAATAATAATAATAATAATAATAATAATAATAATAATAATAATAATAATAATAATAATAATAATAATAATAATAATAATAATAATAATAATAATAATAATAATAATAATAATAATAATAATAATAATAATAATAATAATAATAATAATAATAATAATAATAATAATAATAATAATAATAATAATAATAATAATAATAATAATAATAATAATAATAATAATAATAATAATAATAATAATAATAATAATAATAATAATAATAATAATAATAATAATAATAATAATAATAATAATAATAATAATAATAATAATAATAATAATAATAATAATAATAATAATAATAATAATAATAATAATAATAATAATAATAATAATAATAATAATAATAATAATAATAATAATAATAATAATAATAATAATAATAATAATAATAATAATAATAATAATAATAATAATAATAATAATAATAATAATAATAATAATAATAATAATAATAATAATAATAATAATAATAATAATAATAATAATAATAATAATAATAATAATAATAATAATAATAATAATAATAATAATAATAATAATAATAATAATAATAATAATAATAATAATAATAATAATAATAATAATAATAATAATAATAATAATAATAATAATAATAATAATAATAATAATAATAATAATAATAATAATAATAATAATAATAATAATAATAATAATAATAATAATAATAATAATAATAATAATAATAATAATAATAATAATACGAGATCACTCCTCCACACAAATATCCGCCCTCCACTTTGTTCTCTCCAAAGTCATACCCTCATCCAACCCAAGAAGAAGCATATCACTTCGGACTCCCCTAACCTACGTCTGTTTGGGTCTTCCTCTGTCTCTCTTCCTTGCCTCTTCTCCACACATCTCAACATGTCTGACAGGTGCATCATTCGCACTAGTGGAAAAAAGTCGATTAGAGGCGCTTTTTTTTTTCCGCGTGCGGCGCTTTGAAGCGCCTCTAAATAAAGTGCCGCAAATCGTTATCGGAGGCGCTTTTTAATTAAGAAGCGCCTCTGATTTTATTTTTTCCAAAAAGTTTGCGGCGCTTATTCAATGAGAAGTGCCTCCAAATTGTAAAAACTATGCGGACGCGTGCGGCACTTGTAGGTTAGAAGCGCCTTAATTTTATTTTTGTTTTAATTTCTGTTTGTGGCGCTTAAAGCACAAAAGCGCCTCTAATTTTAATATTTTTTTTTGTAAATTTATTTATTTCAATTATTTTAATTTCAATAGATTTAGAAGTTATTGAAATGCCTGGATCAATCCAAATATCCATTCCATTAAATTCAAATGTAACAAAATAGGGATACAAAATTTGTTCTCAAAATTGTACTACGTAACAAATAACACCAGTTTTTTTTATTTTAAAGTTAACTCACAATAGTGCTCGGAACACAATAAAATTAACACATATACATTACATCTAAAAATAATCTAGACTAGATATTCTAGATATATCATTGAATTTTTCCGGTGCATATGGTCCTCTCCTTGGACTCTAAACCCGAATGTCTGTACAACAATTAAAAATGAACTCAAAATTATAATGACTTGTTTAAATAATATATTTAAGACAACATAGATAGTATAATATAAAATATAAATTGTTGAAAACACAACTTATTAAAACCTGTGATGCCACGGTGAATCAGACTGAGATGCCATGGTTACTTATTTTCGTAACTTCCACTATCAGACATTTCTTTCTTTATCACAGGTTTGAAAACCTAAAAAACAGAATGGAAATGTAAATATAAATAAGTATGTGATGCTACACCAACAACAAACACACCAAACCAGACCTCCTCGCCTGCAGCAATGTTCACACATTTCATCATCCACCAAGGAAACCAAACTCAAACGGAAGAGAAACAAAGATTCGAAAACCAGAAACAAAATAGCATTACAAATCAACAAGGTGAAAAATTTCTTTCATTAACTGACCGTTCAGAAGAAAGAAGAAAAGAATCACTTTGTCGGTCTCTAAGGAACTCTCTTCTCACATGCCACCTCCAACACATGCACACTCACACCAATCACCAACATGCTACCAAACACAAACTAAAATGATCAGAATCAACCCAAAGTCAAAGAGCCAAAACAAAGATCAAAGAAAAGTGAATACTCACATACCAAAATAGGAAAGCAATGTTGTTCAATTCTCACAATGTAGATATCACTCGAGAATAATTAAATGGCGAAGCTGAAGGGACAAAAAACAAGTAAAATGCCAACTTCCCAAGTTTTCTTAAAACATCAACATAAAAAAATCTTAATAAACTGAATTACAAGAAAAGCAACTGTACAGTTCAATATCAATAGCACAAATAATCAAAGTCATAATTTTCTTAAAACACCAACATCCACCAGATAATCAAGTCATAATTCAATTAAAACACCAACATCCACTAGATAAAAGAATGAAAAGGTAAAAGAGAGACACCTCTTCCATTACAGCGGGAGCAGTCGACTCTGCCACTCCCTCCACAAACAACACAAGGAGGGTCTGCCTTCTTTCTCTCTTTCATTCCCACCTTAAACTACAATTAACCATAAGTTCCATAACTAACACAAATAATACACCATAAATATCAGGCAACAAAATCAAAATCGTGACTCCGCTTTTTACTCCCCCAATTTGTGATGTAGTTGAGTTACAGTTCTTATTAAAAAAAATTGTTCTGCTTTTTAGTCTATCAAAACAAACGCTAATGCCTGAAACAAATAAGTACAATAAACCTTCCAAAAAGGAAAAGTGATTTCGGAGGTTAGGGTCACCTTTGTTCTTATGATCCACGAAGATTTGGAATCTGAAAGACGTGGAGTTCGGATCTGTGCTTTCAGACTCAGCGACAAAAATATCCGTCGACGGCGGCGGCACGCAGAGCAGATCGAAGGCGGCAGTAGCTAGGAAAACAGTGGACAGCGGCGCAGCAGTCGGCAGCAAGCACAGCGTCGGGCGGCGAGGCTGGAGATTCCTTCAGGTCGCTGCGGCAAGGGCTGGACTTACGATCTGTAATCGATCGTTTTGATCGGGCGCTAGGGTTAGCAGATTGAAAAGACTTAGAGGAGCTTATTTGATAGAAGCGCCACACGCGTTCCAATTGCGGGCACGCGTGATATCCGAAAAAAATAAAAAAGGTTAGAGGCGCTTGTTCCTTATAAGCGCCGCAGGTATCCCTAATTTAAAAATAAAATTACGAGCGGAAATTAGTTTGGAGGCGTTTCAGACTAAAAAGCGCCGCACGGATCTGAATAAAAATAAAAATTAAAGTCGTACATCCAACAGAGGCACTTGTATATATAAGCGCCTCAAATGAAGCGCCTCTGTTTGGCGTTTTTCCACTAGTGTCGGTCTTCTACGCACATGACCAAACCACCATAGGCGAGACTCTCGCACAGTGGCGGACCGAACATGGGGGCAAATGGGGGGTGTTGTCCTCCCAAAATTTTATTTTTCTAGGTATATTTACCCCGAAATTTTAATATATTGGTATTTGTATTTATATTTTTACCCTGCCGCTCCTCCTAGCCGGAATTCCTGCAACCGCCGCTGCTCCCGCATCTTGTCTTCAGTAGGTGCTACTTTTACTCTTTGTCTGATTGTCTCATTTCTCACGTGGTCCTTCCTAGTATGCCCACACATCCAACGCAACATGCACATAACAATAGCTGAGTGACTAAACACTGTAAACAGTAAACAAGAGATAAGCTAAGAGCATCCGTAGTGGGGGTGTGGATTGCTAAAAATGAATTGCCACATTGACCGTGAGATAAATTTACATACTCCAACGGGAACGTGTATACATCCTCCA